TAGCAGTCAGAGAAGGGCTTTGCTAGCAGAGAAATGTGCCCTGGAAACCTAGCTCTGCCACTTACTGGTTGTGTGCCCTCGGGCAAGTCATTTGTCCTCCCTGAGCCTCAGTCTCTATCTCTAACGTGGGGATAATAAACTTACCTTGCACAATTTTAAGAATTAGGAGACAATGGATGCAGAGTGCTCAACACAGGTCTCACACAAAACAGGAACAGAATTATGCACAGGAGTCTGTGCATAATTCCAAAGGCACCCCTGTCTGTGGGAGATTCAGGCCTGACTTCTCAGGGTACCACACAACTAAGGGCATTTAATCCAAAGGCCTTAAATGCCCCAGATACTGGCCATCTCTGGTGCCCAGGATACCTCCCTGGATGGGAAAGGAAACCCAAGGGTTGTTGTAGTCTCTGGGATGCTGGGTCCACAGCTTGTGGTCTGGGCTGGCATCTGCTGAGTCAGGCCTGGGAGAGATGGCAAGAGGGCCATTTCTCTCTCCAGCCTGCTGCCTGCTGAGGGGAGGTTGGGAGGGGAGCCAGAGGTCATTTCCTCTGACTCAGTGGCCATTCTCCTCCCAGAGGAGCTCCCCTGGAGGACTGGGCACCTCCATGTGGTGCTGGCCTCCCTACCGGCCAACCTGCATGCCACCCAACATAGTTGGGGCATTGTGCTCAGACAAGAAAGGAGCACTTGTGATCCAGACAATGGACTGGGTTGCTCCTATTTGGCCTCGACTTCAGCTTCCCTGGGTCAGCAATGTCCTTTCCTCTCCTCCTGCCCACTCTGCTTCCACCCCTCCTGGAGAAAGGTAGCTAGGAACTCCAAGCAGAGATCCAGGCAGAGCCGGCCCATGCCGTGGTTTGGCACGTGCCCTGTCCATGAGGAGGAGAGATGCAAGCTTCTTTTCTCTCCCCTGGTAAGGCACATCGCCCCTAAGGAATTCAACTCGGGTCAGGACATGTTGCCGGCGGGTAGACGGGAGAAGGCCCTGGGTGGTGGTAGGGGTGGTGGGGTGGTGGGGGTTACGGGGGCAGAGACCCCGGACCCAGCCTCCATACCTCCTACTCCAGCGGCAGGCCCATGGTCTGGTCTGCCCCCCACGTTTGCAGCCACCCCGGGAGCCCTGCTGCGACGACTGCAGCCACGTGGGAGTCAGCTCGTGCCCACGGGGCCGCTCGCCCCCTACCCCCGCCCTCGACGGGCTGTGGAGGCAGGCACACCCAGACAGGCCAGAGGGGCGACGCCCCCCCCCCCC